GTTTTACTTAAATTTATAAGTTATGACATTTGTTGAAATTTCGCTGAGAAAATTACTTTGAAATCTTTCTAATGTTCCTGATGTTAAATTTTTATAAAATAAATTTTTTTTCCTATCACTGTTTTGTACATTGATAGTGGATTGATGATTTATATTTATTTTATTATTATTAGATTACATAAATGATAAATGTATATTCGGTGGCGTAACTTCAGTTTTTGATAGGTGTGGAAAATGTTTTAACCCATCCATTAATTGAACAAAAAATTGTTTGCTTCGCTCGCAAGTTAATTTCCAATTACATTTTAAACTCAGTAGGTACCTACAATAAATTTCCATTTAACATAACTATATGCTTCGGGAGCAAAAATAAATTAATATTATATCAAAAATGACTGGATGTTATTGTCATATAACAAATATAGGTATGGCTTACTTTATACAAACATAGCATAAGTTTTATATTTTTCTAAATGGGTTGAATAAATTAAATTATTTGTCATTGGCCACATATTATAAAGCTTTKTAAATATGTGTACTTACTAAAAAATAGGTACCTACCATGTATATAATGTGGACGGTGAACCAATATTATAATGTAGGCCGACTATTATGTCTGTAACAAAATTATATAATAATAGGTTGAACATTTTAGCTGTAGATTAATTAGATTCAGATATTATTAATTTTTTTCTAGGAATTTAAGTAATTAATTTATTCAAGTTTGATAATATATGACAAAATAATAGGTAATAATAAGAATAACTTATTCCTTGAATTTATAGGTTTTTTTTACTGCGTATTGAATATTATTTTTTTCTGATAATAAACCAAATAGGTATACCGTATGTTAAAATATGAATTACCTAATTGTATTTAACTATTTTATAATTTTTAAGGCAAACTAAGATTTTTTTAAATTTTAATTTATTAAAGTGTATAAGTAAATATTTTAATTATTATTAGTTAAATATTTTGTATATTGTGTGGTTTAAACTCGTATAATATTATCATAATGTTATTAGTGCGATAAAATGTACAATATGTAATTAACTAATTAAAAAATGCAATGTTGCTATTAACTGTAGGTACGCCTGTGCGCAGATAGTAAATTAAAAATAATAATAAATTATTAACTTTTTAATTTTATGTTCTGAATAACAAAAATCGTCAGAAACGTAAGCTCATGACGAAAGTTGATAAAAATCGATATAATATAAGTGTGGTACGACAGAAACAGACAAAAATCAGAAAAGGCCTGAGGTTTCTCTWATCAAAGGAGTGAGATAAATAGTGATTGGAATCCAATCATTGGATCACGGAGTCTCTTTTCTGTTAAAAAATATTTATGTGTACTTTATCCTATTTAATTATACATAATATATCCTAGTCAGTAAGATCCTTAAATATTCAGKTAACCTACGTAAATTTTTTTACACTTGAAAAATCCCCATTTAGTTTTTTTTCCGATTCAAGCACTAAAAATACATTTTATGACTTGGACATAAACAATATTTTATTTAGATTTAAAAAAAATACGTGGTGCATGTAAGATATTAACATTGAAAATGTATCCAATATTTCTTAATTACAATTTATGATAAATGATAATGTAATTATTAAATGGAATAAATGAGTGATAATATTGATTTATGACAAAAATAATTGTTTGCTTATTGTGAACATAAGTATTTATTACGTTTTTAGAATTGTTCCAAATTTCGCACTTTTTAATTAGATGTTTCAAACATAGTACTATTTTACTACAGGTACTCTGTTAAAGTTAAGAAACGTAGTTGGCGGTAGATTTATGCGTTGGGCGTGATGGTTACTAAACGGCAGATATGCATATAAATATATAATTGACTGGGTGAGGATGAAAAACGGGTGATGTCTGACTGCGGTCCTACGAAAACTGTTCGCCACCGATTACGTTTCTTAATTTGAARTTCGAACATAGTATAATAATGTCATCTATCCTGGCGTAGCGGCGGCGTTTTTCAACGTTTTTAACGTCGTGACCCACAAAATAGGTAAAACATAAAATAATTCCATTCACCCATTCACGACCCCCCAATCATCCTCTTTTAATAATATCTAATTTATGATATTATCTGTGTTACCAGCTTTAAAATATTATATTAAAACATTAACCATTAATAACACAAATAATTAGAATACGAGAACATTTAAATTTTTATTTTTATGTAAATAAAAGGTGGTTTTTTACATAATCGTTTAATTATATCTGAACAATGTGACTCCACATCTTGGGGTTTGTGACCTTCAAGTCTAGAAACGTTGGTATATTCAACGTCCCACCTTTTATATTTAATCAAACACTACTTATTATAACCTTTATCCCTTATAATCGACAAGAAATTAAATGATATTAGTTGTTAAAAAACAAAAATGTTTTATACAGTGTAAGTGTATGTACATTGTATAACAAGATAGTAATTTAATTTAGTAATTTTTAATTACAGATATGAACATGAGTGAATTACAACACCATAAAATATCTAATGTAATTTATAAGTCATAACTGTAGACTGTAGTAGGTGCTTAAAATTAATAAAATTGATCTATTTTATGTAACTGAAAAATGTCAAAACCTTACCTAATTAGTAATTGCTTAATAAGAGAATTTAATTTAGGTATGTACTATAAATGTTGTAATTTTTACAATCATAACATATTAACATTCACGTTTTAATTCAGGAACAYCCAACTTTTTTTCATTAGTGGGTCAAAAATTAAGTAACAGTTTTACGATGTGTTAGAAATATTGGAATACAGGACAACTATTTAAAAAAATGCATATGCTTAGTAGGTTAGTGCTTACCATATTGTATCAATATTGTTTTTACAATTCATTAAAACAAACTAATATTTTGTAATTTTTCTGACTAGTTTTTTTCATCTTTAATTTATCAACATTAATAACCGTAAGAATGTTATTTTAATAATAATATTATGTTTTGAAAATAATACAATATATTTTTTTTAATTAAAAAATTTTTCACTGGCTAAACATGATGTCTTTGAATTTATCTGATTTAATTAATATTCAATTATTTACAATAAATAGTAAAAAAAAATCATGGATTTATCTTATAAAGATTGCATGGTTATTAATTATAAGTGTATTACCTATATACCTACTACTTATTATGACAACAGTCAACAAGTACCTATAATTAGATAAAATTTCTATAATTTTTGGTAGGTAATATTTTTGAAAATGCAACTACTAAAGTAGTTTTTATAAATAAATATGATAAATTTTAGATCATGTGAATAATTACAATGGTTAAATCATAAGCCTAACTATACATACTTAAAAAGCTTTATGTTAGTAAAGGTTCATCAATAGTCAGTAAAAAAAAATGTCAATAAAACTGTGTCATTATTTGTTTTAATTGCATAATTTATTGTAATAGGTGATTATTTCATTATTTGTAGGAACACTAGGAACACCTATGGGGATAAGCAGTGATTACAATTAAAGGGGTTGCAACCCTTTTAACCAGCTGCATTAGTCCATTCTAGGTACTAAAAAGGGTGCAAAAAATCAAAATGGCTCCTATACAGTAAAAAAAGGGTAAGTTAACCCTTCCTCTATATTATATAGTATAAATAGTTTTTTATTTTTTTTTTTTATGCATAGTGTTGGTATATCTGCCGGCAGGGCATATGTTAGCGAGTGCGCACCATCAGACTGAATCGCATATCATTGGGGAGCAGAGACTTACAGTGTGCTGTAAAGAAAAAAAAGGGTAAATAGCCTTTTATTTTTTAGCCAACCACAGTGCTTCATGCAAAAGAGTCCAAAGGGTTCCTGCCATCCGCTGTAGTCGTACAATACCGATAGTAACGCTACAGTTGTGTTCGTGTGTTCGACAAATGCAGTTGTATTGATTTTAGTTTATTTTTTATTTATTTTAAAAAAACGTGTGGTTTTTAATTCATAAAAATTTCACTCTAGAGTTTGTTACAAGTGCATACAATTGTTTTTCTAAAATAGCCAGCAAAAAGGATTAACTATTAAGAATCTGTATAAAAGAACTTGAACTGTAATGGTATGTTTAAAAGTATAATATAATATAATATATTACATATATAACCATATTATTTTAAAATAGTTAATCTTTATATTTTCTATTTAATCTTTACCACATATAAAATAATTTAAGATATTTTTTTCTATTAGTATAGCTTTTTAATATTGGTTTATGAAAAATAATATTAATTAAAATTACTGTGCCTTTTATTAAACTAAAATAATTTGGTGTTTTAAATTTATATTAAGATTAAAGTCAAATTATTTTACTTAGGTATTAAACATTTTAGTAAAATATTAATTATATCAGTTATAATATTGTTTATAATTAACAATAATATTTAAATAATTTTAATAAAATTACTAGGTATATCAAAATATTTAATACAATAATCTGTGGATAAAACAATTAAATAATAGCATCTATTGTTATAATGTCATTGTAAAAAAATATTAGTTATAAATTAAGACTTTAATATGATAGAAATTTTTTATTTGTAATTAGTACACTATTTAGATCATTCTGTTAACATAGGTACATTTTAAAGACGCTTAAAACATTTAAATTTGTATTTAATATAATTTATTTTTATTATTTAACAAATGTTTATCTATTAATGCTTTAGTATTAGAATTTATAAACAGATTAAATTAATTTTAAGATAAAAATGATATTAAAACAATGATTTTAATTTCTTACAAAACAATGTGAATTTATTAGATGTATATAAAAACTAATACTAATAATAATTATTTGTCTRCCTATAAATTGTTAAAAGATTACATTTAAATGTAAATGTTGTTGTTGGYGTTACTTTTAACTCAACTTACAACTATAAATTAATAGTTTAAAAAAAAGAATGAAATATTTCACTAGTTATTTTATGTATTTATATTGGAGTGTCATAGGTGTGCACAGGACTCTTTTTCAGGGTATGCTAAAGGATACAACTGTCGCGCCCTGAAAGTTATTTTAAGCATGTAAAGTTCTGATAATATATATACCTACACAATACATAAATATTGAAATGACTTACTGTTTAATTAAAAAATATTGTAACAATAATACCATGACAAAATACAAAAAGTATGTATTTTGTTAAATACTTGGTAGTTAATAACTAATAACTGGATGTTTCAATTTGCCATTAGGCACCCGGTCATATGTCACATGTCGGMCGGTGGTTAGCATAGCATAACCATCACATTATTATTCTTTTATACATGAAACAAATGTTGTCTCTAACGTTATTTTTATATCATTTTCTTCATTTTTAATCATTTGTTATCGTTATAATTATTGTAATATACATACTGATTATTTTTCTCGCACAAAAAAAATTTTTTTTTAGAGTCGATTTTTGTTACTCAAAGAGCTTATAGTACGCAGCTCGCAACTGCATATCCTGCATACCATCTGTACATGCCTATGATTGCAATCATTACTTATGTTTAAATTTAACATGTTTAAACTTTAGTATTTTTGGTATTAATATACCTACATATAATTTTAGCTTATAAGTTATAATAATATATTTTAAGAGCATATTAAGTATTTCTATGCCTGGATTCTATCATATATTACTGTGAAAAGTAGAAAGTAGGCACTAGGCATCATAAGTTAAACCAAAAAATATCTCTGTGATAGTGCTTAATAAATTTACTGTTGGTGAAAAGTTTATATTATGTAGTATAAATAATATT